CACAGTAGAGTCACTGTTCTGCCGTACATTTCGTCAGAGACGACGCCAATCACTCTCTTGGAAAACTGTGCTCGAACCGCAGTTAAGTCTTCTAGAGAAGGTCTGTGGGTTCTGATTCCAGTTTTTGAAAACCTTTGATATAGCTGCTTTTGAGAACCCAGTGAGATTTTCTGTCTTCAAAATCGAGACCCTTGCTAAACGGGCAAAACAATACACCCGTTTTCAAATGGTGAAAGATTTGTCGTTTTTTTTTTTTTTTTTTTTTTTTTTTTCATTTTACTTCATTCATTGTGAAAAGCATTCTTACACCTTACTTATACTAGTATTCTAACCACGTGTAACCCACTTCATAAAAAATTTGCGTTCTCCATCCGATAGCATGCATTTAAATGAAAATCTCAAAGATTTCTACTTTGAGAATTGGCCAGTGTGTGTAACTGTTAAAGAGAGCAAGAAGAATCAGCGTAAGGTTGCGTAAATTTGTAGAATTATAGTTTCGAATAATTTAGTTCTTCAGCTGCAGAAGTGAACAATTTCATTTCTCTAGCTGAATAAGGAAGTTTTTTACAATATTGTTACGGATTTGGTATTTAAATACCTAATGTTAGTAGAATTGCAGCGCGTGACGAATATTAAGAGAAAGCTAAGCCGTAAAATAAAAAATACAAGAGCACATGCATTTAACATTTAATAAATAAATATTTCTTTTTGATTTCGAGAAATTGCTAGAACAATCTCGTGCTTTTTAAAAAGCTTATAAAAGCGGGATCAAAACCTCTCAACTCAGTTGTTTTATGAGTTTTGTTTAGAAAACTGCTGTTATTTACTGGTGAGATTGAATTAGCTTTCTCTACGTTTCGATATTTTGAATTAGCTCTGTTGAACGTTTTTAGTAATTAAAAAGATAAATACTGTAAGGTATTGGAGCGTTGTGCGAATATCTGAGGAAATTTAAGCATTTTTGTTTTATTTCCTGTGATAATAATAAATTTTATTAATTTTTCATTGGACTTGTGCACTCAATTTATAACGAACCCGTACGGACGCAACACTTTTTGATGGCAGCGGTGAGATTTTGAATGCCAATTACAAGAGCGATGAAAGAACAATTAAGGCAATTCATGGCAGCCTTTGCTGCATTTAAGGAACAGATGAAAGATTCTGTGAAACATGAGATGAAATCATTTAAAAAAGATATAAAATCCCTTAAAGATGAGAAGAAATCCTTTAAAGAAGAGATGAAATCTCTTAAAGATGAAATGAAATCATTTAAAGAAAAGATGGATGCTGGTCAAGAAAGATGGAAGCTGGTCAGGAGTCAGTTTAAGAAGATATTACCTGCATAATAGAAAACAAATTTGATTCTATGGAAGGCAGAATAAACGCTATTGAAAATAAAGTTGGAGAAATTCAAGAAAGAGTTTCTTCTGTGAAAGAACAAATAGAAGAGAAAGTTTCTACTGTGGAGCAACGAATCGAAGGAAGAGTTTCGGCCGTCCAACATCGAATTGAACAACAAATTGAAGAAAAAGTGTCTGCCATCCAAGAACATATCGAACACCAAATTGATGGCAGGGTTTCTGCAGTTGCCAAAGATATTGATACTTAAAAGTAATTTGTAACGACGGTAGGAAACAATTCGGATGGTTTAAAATTTTTAAACGTGCCTGCTCGTCCTTCTCTGAAGCTATCGACATATGATGGGAGACCTCCTGGCAAGTGTGTAAGACCCAGTTCTGTATAGTTGCGGATGTGAATGGATGGGATTCCCAAGCTAAGTCTGTCTATCTCGCTCCTTCTTTGGGAGCAGACGTAGTGGATATTCTGCAGACTCTTTCCGAAAACCATAGATTAGACTTCGAAGCTCTATCCAGGGCGTTGGAGCTGCGCTTCGGCGAGAAATGATTAAAAGATTACAGCAGGCTTCAATTAAAATCCCGCCAACAAAAGCCCACCGAAACTCTCCAAGAGCTCGCCACAGATGTTGAAAGGCTGTCCCATCTCGCTTTTTTGAAGTGCCTGACAGAAACAAGGGAAATCCTGTCCCTGCAATACTTTATGGACGGCATCTGGGATCTTGAAATACAAAAAGCTCTACGAATGGCGGATGTTAAAGACCTGAAAAGCGCTTTAGGGTACGCTATGAAATTTGAGACAGCCCAGCAAGCAACTCGTAGAGATCGCTAACCAGTCAGAGCTGTGGGAGTCCACGAGCCAGTGGATCAATTGATGGCTCATTTAGAAAATTTATCCAGGCAAGTCGACGGATACGGAGTAGGCAAGTTTGATACGGAGTAGGAGTGAGAACAAAGTGGCTCTAAGATGTTGGAAATGTGGTACTGAAGGCCACCTACGACGGAATTGCGAAAACACCCCAGGGTACGGAAAATAAAACAGATGATTTTACCAGACAAGTCAGTGGCTTTGGACCGAACAGAAGTGAAAAGAACCCAATTCTAAAGTGCTGGAACTGCGATGTTGAAGGCTACATACTAAGGAATTGCAGAACACCCCAGAGCACGGAAAATAAGACGGACGAGTTAAACAGACAATTAAATGCCACGGAACGGAAAAGAAGTGACAAGAAACCAAAGTTCTGGAACTGCAGAGCTGAAGGCTACGTGCGAAGGAACTGCAGAACACCCCAGAGCACGGAAATTGAGGCCGTTTCTCTGCAACAATGCAGTAAACAAATTAATGATCTTATCGAGGAGCGGAGGTTGCCAGATAATGAACAACCTTGTTTTAAAGCGCTCAAGATTTCTACAGTGAGTGGCAACATTAACGGACTGTCCATCAATGGGCATATCGATGGAGTTCCTTGCCCATATGATCATTGACCCAGGAGCTAATGTTACCATCATTCGAAGAGATTTAGCTCAACAGTTTAAAGATAAACTTATTTGGACGCCATTCCTGTGTTACCCTTTAGACTATGTCTGGTGATAACATCGACATAGCTGGGAAGTTGAACGTGATCATCACGTTTGGAAGTGCTGCTTACCATCACACGGCTTATGTGGCGGATATTACAGATCCATGCATACTCGGATTGGACTTTTTAAGGAAATACAATTTTTCCTTAGACTTCAAAAACAACAAACTGCTTAGCATCTGAGGACATCTTTCCTTAGCATCTGAGGACATTCTGCCTTTCAGTATTTGAGGATCCATCCTCAGAAGGGATCCTCACCTGGAAACGCCGACATGTTGTCTTGCTTTTCGGCAGCTCAGAAAGCTACCGAAATCTTACTATGGTTGAAGAGAAACACCAGATTACCGGATATTCTGCATCCCAGATGCTCTTCGAGATCTTCGTCTGTCTGGTGACCGCTTGTTTGTTCGCCCTACGGATGCGCCTTCATCGGCTGAGGAATACATCCAAGATATTCAGGCTCAGTTTGAAGTGATGCACAGTTCTGCACGAGAGCGAGTCAACTTGGCGACGGAGAAAGTGAAGCCCAGATACGATACGGTAGTTACTGGACATCGATTCGACAAAGGAGACAAGGTGTGGTTGTGGAATACGATTCGACGAAAAGGAGTCAGGCCTAAATTACAGTCACCTTGGGATGGTCTGTACACAGTCCTAAACAGGCTGAACGACGTTGTGGTTCGTATCCATAAGTCATGGAACTCTAAACCTAAAGTCGTTCATTACGACAGATTAGCACTTTACTATGGCCATAGTACGTAGTGTAAATAACTGTAAATAGTGTAAGACGATGATCCTTTTTGTTTCTAAATGCGTATTTGATTTGACTTGTATTTAGTATTTGATTTGTATTTAGTATCTGATAGTATTTGAATTGTTTTAAGTTACTATTTTAATTATTATTTATGTTGTTTCTTATTGTAATATAATGTTTATTATTGCGTTTATGCCTTAGTTGTAAGTTTGGCTTCCTGTCCAGGGATTGTACTGCCCAGGACGCGCAATCCTTGGGAAGGGGGCAGTATTACGGATTTGGTATTTAAATAGCTAGTGTTAGTAGAATTATAAATTAAATTGCTTTATTTCCCGTGCAGTGCAGAGCGTGACGAATATTAAGAGAAAGCTAAGCCGGAAAATGAAAAATTCAAGAGCACGTGCATTTAACATTTAATAAATAAATATCTCTTTCTGATTTTGAAAAATTGCTAGAACAATCTCGTGCTTTTTAAAAAGCTTATAAAAGCGAGATCAAAACCTCTCAGCTCAGTTGTTTTATGAGTTTTGTTTAGAAAACTGCTGTTGTTTACTGTAGCGAATTCGCGGAATGATTGGATTAGCTTTCTCTACGTTTCTCTATTTTGAAGTAGTTCTGTTGAACGTTTTTAGTAGTTTAAAAGATAACTACTGTGAGGTATTGGGGTATTGAACGAATATCTGATGAAATTTAAGCACTTTTGTTTTATTTATTGTGATAATAATATAAGTATAAATGTTATTCATTTTCCATCGGACTTAGGCATTCAATTCATAACGAACCCGTACGCACGCAACAATATTTTTACTGTTGCAGCTGAAGAATGTTTTATTTAACTTTCGAAACTAATGACAGACTTGATCAGCTTATAGTGATTCTTTTGTATAGTACCTTAAGCATTTGTTCTTGAGCGTGTTATTTTTATTAAAACTATGTTGGCTTCAAATGAGCTGTTTATTTTCATGATTGCAACTTATTGCAACAACTTCATTTTGACTCGGTTGCTTGTTTGAGGATGGTAAAATTCTATATTGAAACTGTGGGCTAGATTTGAAGAAAGGAACTAGAAGAAATGTTGGACGCTTTTTTGATTTCCTACGATTAAGAAATATAAAAACGTGTGTCTTGTGTTTGTAAAAATGTGCTTTACAAAAAATTAAATATAACTTCTCCCCCATAGAAAAAATAAGAACACAATATAGTATTTTGTCAAAGGTTATGTCTGTTCATAATTGTTTACAACCTTACTTCAAATTGTTCACTTCTTTGGTAAGGAATTTTTTTAATATGAATGTATTAAGTGGCTCTTACATTGGCTCTGTGTAAAATCTCTGGTTCAATGTAGAATTCTGGCTTGAGATAGATAGGGCTTCTCCTTGGGCACTTTTCTTGCGTTGCTGCCTCAGGTGATAGAGTTCTGTTTTTCGTTTTTTCTTTAGTTTCTCCATCTTCTGTTGTTTTACCACAGACTAGACAAGGGTTAGATGAATCCTAAATGTAGAATAAACAGTTACCAATGCTTTATTTACAATAAATCTATATTAAAAATGCTCGAAATCGTAAATATTATAGAGTTCTCAAAGCCATGTTTAAATCTGCACTCTACGTTGTAAATAGATATATGCTTGTATTTTATATCAAATCTTTGGTGGAAAAATTGTATAAAGAATAATACCTTTTCTATGGGCTCTTTTCTGGTACTATCTTTAACCACATGATATCCACCTTTCTTCTCAGATTTGCTTGAAGATGAAGCACTACTTTCAGCTGAAATACAATTTTAAATTATCTAAGCATATATTAGTTTCAATAAAATAAGGAATATTTTCAGTTTAACATTTGAGCAAAAATCGATGTATAATACACATTAGAAAGACTTACAAAACTTATAGAATTTTCAAAAATTATAGAATTAGGTTGTGTAAGGTTAATAAGCAGTAAATTTCATATAGTTTCATAGTAAATCATTCATTTGTTTGGAAAAGTTTTTGTTTGTAATGAACCCTTACAGGCTGTTGCTCACAATTATCTGGATCATTCTTTAGTTGTTTAATTCAATTTAATCTTTCAATTCAATCTTTTTTTAGTTATCTTCGGCTTCCTTAAAAATGCATACCCTGTAATTTATTTCCCAGCGACTTAATTTGTGTAGCTTTTTATAATATCCTCCTTAACTTAACTTGTTAATATATTTTTATTTTAATATTATTTTATTTTTTTAGATAAGTTTTAATCTATTATTTCTTCTCATAACATTCAGAGGAATTTTTAAAATTATCTATTATATTTAAATTTTTGCACGATAAGTACTTTGCTTAATCAAAGTGTTAAAATGTAAATTTGTTTTTAATTTGACTTTTACATCGATATTTATTTGATTTAAGTTCATCTTAAATATAATAATTTAACTAACAAAATTACATTAGTCAATTTTGTAAAATGTTTAACAATTTTTGATAGCAGACAGTCTGAACCTCTAAATTTCCTTATTTATAAATATTTCTGACGATAAATTTGTTTCTCGTGTGATTACATTTGACTGCCTAATTATGTAATCTTGATTTTTTTATGAATACAATAATCACTTACCTCTTGATTGAGAATGCTCACTGGATGGTCGTTGTTCCGAAACTTCTTGTAGATATCGATCTGTGGCATCGTCTTCTGTCTGAGGCATGGGTTCAGAATGGTACTTTCTAAGCTGAGCACTTTTACGCCTCGAAGAATGAAATTCTCCACTACTAAAACTTTTATGAGTTGCACCTTTTGATATCCATTTCACTCTTTTATCATCTAAAGGCTTCTTTAAAGCCTCAGATGAAGGTATATTACCTGAAATATGTATAAAATTAATTACATGAATGAAACAAATGCCAATAAAAGTGTATTTTTCTAATTATTTGTGTATATTTTAAACTACTTCATTCGAATTATTTTATATACAGAAATACAATTTAGTACGTCCTGTATTTATAAACTGTCAAATCAAAAATAGAAAGCTTCAACAATATTCGTGAATGTTTTATTAAAAAAAATTAAGTTTATATTTATAATGTACTTTAAAGTAGTCACTTTCAGCGAAAACGAAAATTTTTTAACGTTCCTAAAGCTCTTCAGAGCAGTGCTGGCATCATTTAAGCGTTTTGTCGCTATAGAGGTGGGTGATAAAAATCGCGAAAACACTCTTGAAGTAAGGCAACTTTTTCTTTGCTATGTGTGTGTGTGATTATGGCAAAGCCTTGAGGGCTAACTGCCTAAGAGGAGGGATGCCTTCGTGGAGGACTTTCTAAGGAAAACTTGCTCGTATACATGTTACACATGGGGAAAACCACGAAAACGCCCATGCAGCCAGCCCGTTCACGGGATTCGAACCTCGGACCGAACTACCAGTGTTCAGCGATTTTACCGCTCGGCCGCATTTCTTTGCTATGTATAATAATATTTATTCGAATAATGTTTATCATCTGCCTCCTGCCACCCCTCCCCCCAAAAAAAATGCACCTACTGCTATTGTAAAGGCAATGAAATGGTCAACATAACATGAACTGTTTCAAATTCTACAAATGCCGCATACTACCTGCAAGTTTCATTAAAGAAGCGATATATCACGGAATGTTTGGAAGATACCTTGCATATGATTCAAGCTGCAAGTTTTAACAAATACAGATATTCCTTAAATTATTTTTAGGGTTTAATGTTTCTGAATAATGAATAAAAATTTATTTTATTTAAAGAAATAAGAAGAAATATCTCACAACATTTTCTATTTACGTCAGATAAGCAAATTATAAATGTAATTTTGCTTTTATATAGCTTTTATTGTCTTATTAATACTGAATGTATACCATTTTAAGCGATACCAGTGATCGTTAAATGTATATCATTATTAGTCGTTTTAAATGGTTAAAATTAGAATATCAAAAAATCAGTATAATAAGGTCAAAAACAATTTTTCTGAACCAGAATTCAAACATTTATCGAAAGTTCAAAAGTTTTTTTTTTTTTTTTTTTTTTCAAGTTTATACCGTTCCAGCTTTATATCATACCTTATAAACTATTTTCTCCCTCCTTACATCATGCCTTCGTGTTGTAAAGTTAGCACACTCGGCGCGAAGTCCAGATTCGTGTCCTGGCGAGGGTATTGCACTTTTTTCACGTCTCTTTCTGCAAAATAAGCATGCTCTGCCGCCTGAACTCAAAGGTCGCAGATAATAATTCGTTACCACCAGGATTTGCGACTGGGTCCCCTGATCCAAAATAGCCCTTTAAAAGGGGTAGTATATAATGTTATTAGAAAGGCGAAGTCCTCAGCTTTCCCGGCCGATGATGGTAGTATATAAGGTATTTTTTCCCTTCTTCCAGCATCCTGTCGTGGTGTGAAGTTAGCACACTCGGCGCGTATTCAAGAGGTCCAGGTTCGAGTCCCGGCGAGGTCTTTGCACATTTTTCACGCCTCCTGCTTCAAAATAATCTAATGACTTTACGACCTTAAATCTTGTTACTGTTTTTCCTTTGCATTCGACAAACTAGCGAAATAATTAAGCATTAACTTCAGGAAAGTTTCTACTTCCAGGTATTCAACTGATAATTGGATTAAATTAAAAATATTAATTTGAAATTAACTTAAAGTACCTGACATTTCCTCTCATGGCGTCTTTTCTCAGCATTATTCGATTTATAGTTTATATGCATATACTGGAATGATAATTCAGTGTTAAGCCATTTTGCCTTAAAATACTTCCATTTCAAAAGTCTCAGAGCGTAATAAATGCATATCTTAAATTGTATTTTATTAATTTTTATATGAAATTGATTATGTTTTCATGGATTTGATTTATTTATATCCGATTAATGATGGTAGTAAACGAAAACGTTACCTGGTGTTGGCCGGTCATAAAATTCTTCTAATTCTTTTGTTTCTACGGATGATTGGGCAATGTCACCTGCAGAATCTGAAGTCCTTATATTTTGTTCTTCATTAGCAATGAAATCTTTTTGTGAGTCTTGAATCGGCAGTTCTTCATCTAGAAGAAAGATTTCTGCCGATTCGTTTTTTAGAGATTCTGGAAAGAAATTCCGTTTTGCTTCTGCATCACACAAGACACAGTTCGTGAACGGAATATCAGTGTCACATACTGCACATCGAAAAGACACACCACACTCTAGGAAAGGCGTCGAATCTTCTGCATTGCAAACAACACCTCGACCACGTTCTTTACTTCTAGATTTTCTTTCTGAAATATTTTTTGCTAGAGGGGATTTCTTTTGCTTTTTAGTGTCAGCAACACTGAGAGGTTGAGCGTTCACGGGGGGTACTGGTAAAATAACTTTACTTATCACTCCATCAGGTTGCTGAGAGTCAACATTCTCCCGCGCACGATTCCGTGACCGATGGATACGGTTCCTTGTAGGTGAAGCGAAGGTGACGTCTCGACTGGGAGATCCTGTGTCTTTCCTCCTGAAACTGAGACGGGGGTCGGAATCACACCTTTGAAATGTCACAGATCTTCGACGCCCCGGTGAGTCCCGTCTATCGTTTCGGAGTTTCTCCATCTGATTTCGTTTATGTCGGAGATACTCTCCTGGAGAAGTTCGGCGAATTGGCCGCATTCTGGACGGGGGGTTACAATCCTCCGACAGAGCTCTAGTCAAACGGCGGCATTCCCTAAATGTTAACAGGAAAGTATATTTCATTGATGTAGTTAATGGTAAACTACGTAGAGGACAACATGCATTAATGCATCCTTGGTCGTGAGTTAAATTATATAATTATATAATACTATATAATTCGATAATACTCTAAGAACACTTTTATCTAATGTAATGATTTATTAATATGAACAAAACTTATGCTAAATCAGCTAAATTAAAGATTTCAAGAAATTTAAGCCAGATTAAATACAAATATATTCTTAATATTTAAACACATATTCGAAAATAACGTGGCAAGATAAATCAAAGTCGAAACAATGCAGTTTATTGAAAGAAACCGCAAGAATACAAGATTTTGATAAATTATAATTGCATTTATAATATAGAAGGAAAAACAAATAACATATACTGCTGTTTTAACCGAACAAAGAAATTAACTATAATTATTAGAATTTTGAAATATTTATTATTATTTAGAGAGAAATATATTTTTAAGTAAGTGAGCTACACATTTACGTGTTTTATGAAGTCATATGATCTCGAATTCGGTAATTAGAAATTAAATTAGTCTAATTTAGTTAATGACAATGACTGATTCTACATATATCATATCTCAACAAAAGTGAACTTTTAAATTTCACTTATATGTAATTATTTTTATTATTTATAAAATAAAATCAGATGAACTAATGTAAATTAAATTATTTTTAAATTGGTTCAAATTTAGATTACCTGTTCAGTAACCTTTTGTCGTGTTTATTAGCGATTTCGTAATTAATCCACTTTTAATTATAAGCACTTAAGGAGCAATCATCTCTTCATTTACGATTGTAAGTGTGTCGTCATCACCACACAGAGAAAATTATGAGATTTTAGAACATTAGAGGATTCGACCTTTTTTTTTTTTTCGTAGCAATCGTTAGCAATGGTTATGAGTCATGGCTTGTGGAAAAGAAATTACCTTGAAATGCCTGTTTCAAAGTAGCAGACTTAAGCATTCTACATAAGCTACTAACTAAGGCTAAACCCAAATCAAATTAAATCATACGCTGAATCTTCGTACTCTCCCTTCCTTCTGCTTTGGCTGTGAGGAAAATGCTGACTGGCTGAAGGTTGAAGTAATAAATGATACTCCACATGAAGGTACCTACGTATTTGGTTTCTCAAAACTGAGTTAGCAGTGTAATTATGACGTCAGTTAAGGGCGAAAAAAAGAAAGGAATAACTGCTCAATATGAACAAACATGCATCTATGAATGTATTTTAAATAACTGACATGAAGTTATATATAATTGAAAATAAGCTAAGTTTTGAATAAAAATGTTTAAAAAGCACTAAAACTGACTTTTTTTTTTTTTTTTGATTAGTCGCAATTAGCATCAAAAGGAAGAAAAACTCCGATGGAAAATTCCAATTACTAAAATTTAAAAATTTAATAAATTTTGATAAAGATTTTATTAGTTAAAAGATCGAAAACTAGCTGTGCTGATTTCAAATGTAATTAAGTTTAATCATCCTAAAATTTCTAAATATGATTATGTTAAATTTTAATTTTATGCTTTAAATATTGATTATGGAAAGATCTTATTTTGACAAAAATCGATTATACAATGGTTTAGATACCATTTATTAATTTAAATTACGTACTGGATCTAATGCTACATAAATAGGTTTAAAAAAAAAGTAGATTTGATGTTAATATTCTAAACAAATGAGATGGAAAAAGTAAATATTCTGTTCATAATTGCAACTTGAAAACTTATTTTCAAAATATTGTAGATTTTCAAATTTAATTGAGCTTAACATATTCATTAAATTCAGTACTAATGATTTCCTTTGGCATAATTTTGATTAGTTCCTTCTTTAATGATGTGGCAAATACTTGAGGAGCAAACGTCTTGCTATTTGGGGGGCAGATAAACTACTTTAATGATATATTTCATCCCATTAAATTATGAAATATATGTATAATTCAGTTCAAGCGAAAACATAATTAATTAAAAGATTTGATGCTTATTACGGTACAGTAATTAAGAAATCGATCATAAATTATCTGACCAGCGTTCATAAATATAAAATGCATCCGCATTTAATTACACCTAGTATCGCAGAAAAAAGCAATAATAAATACGTCTTTCTTACTAGAACCTGCAGACAAGCTTATAAATTTCTTAGATATAGTCACATATTCATGAATTATTCAAAATTGTTTGGATCTATTTGGTGTAGATGAATTAAAAAGGATTTTGTAAAAAATAAATGTTTTTTCCCGAAGGAAAGCTAGCTTTATTGAGGAATACCTATAGCTTTTTTTAAAGCTTTGTTAAGCAATCAGATTTGCTGTTCTTTATTTGAACTTATTTTTAAGTTCGGAATATGTGCTATTTACGAGTAAGAATAGATGAAATTAATTTGAATGAAATTTTAGGACTTTCATTTTCTATGAAAACTTTTCCGACACTTAAAGCTAATATAGCAACTGTCCTTTGTGTAAAGATGAGTCAGATTAAAACTAATTTATCCGAATACCTTTGTAAAAAATTGTAAAATACCTTTGTAAGGCATATATGACAGCGTCTATGACCGTAAGGGGCTACTGAATTTGTATATACTTATTAAACTGGACATGTGAACTGCCATGTGTTCATTTACCCTTTTCTATCCAATAGGATTTTTACGGACATCCATCTTCTATTTCTGGAGAAAGGAGGCTGGAGTATCTTAGCGCTCCTGCTTAGGACAATTTTGTTTCTTTTCTTTGCAATTGACTTCCCTAAACAACATCTCGATTGTTGTTTAATGCACTTGTGTTTTGGCTGAGGATAAAATTGCGGCAGCTAAATCAATTCAACCTAATTCTGATATCAAAATGTATCATTTGATATCAAAAGGCGTGCAGAAACCCTGTTAAAAACACTGAAATTTCGTGCAAAAAACGGAGAATATATGTTTAACTCCTCCAAACTTCAGTTCCTTATGATTAGAAAAAAAAAAGATTTGAATAACTTCACCTCCTTTGATTACGCTTTAATTTCAAATTGGAGTATTTTGAAAGACCAGCTATAAGTTTAACCATAAGTTCAAAGTCCCGCTTGGAATGACCACGTCAACCATGTACGTAGAAAAGTCACAGGAATTATCCAGGAACTTAATACTCTACTTGGATGTAATCAAATCGTTGTCTAAATACAAAATTAAATTATATAGGAGTATTATTTATTCAGTTCATTGCTCTGCATGTCTAGCATGGGCAATTGCTGATAATAAGAGTATTCAAACCTTAGATTGTTCAGAATAAATTTATACATTTCATAACTATTGCACATTATTATATTCGAAATAACCTATTGCAAAGAAGACGACATTTTCATTTGTTCTTATGCAATGCAGATCCTTTGAGTCCAAAACTTTGCCAGTTGTCAAACATGCTTATTATAGGCATATTTAAAAGCATGTTTATATTTTCGTTTCCATGTACATAATATTGTAAATAGCTGTATGTATTTTGTTTCTTCATTGACACTGTATTTTGTTTGTGCTTACCTTGTTTGCATTGTACATATTCCTTCATTGAATCTTCTATTTTATTCTAACTTTCACTGTTTCTGAAGATGTCATTTAGTTTACAATATGTAATATATTTTCTTCATGCAAGAAAACGATTACGTCACAGCAGTCACCCTCTTTCTTTCCTTCTCTGATGTTAGCCTAAGGGGAACACTCTTGGCTAGCTGTCTGAAGTGGTCTTCTCACTGAGGCATTATTTCGCGTAATCTAAAACTATTCACCAAATGCTATATTTAGGATTATGTACAAAAGTATCATATTATTTTTGTATTAATTTTGTAGTTTTGTTCGCTTCTCCGTTGCGTTTTTTCAATCATTATGTTTTAAAAATTTCTATTTTCGAAAGTTTGAAAAATCGGGAAATGTGGATTCATCGTTTGCTTATGTTTTGTTTTTCATATTCAGGTTGATAAGATTATTAGAAATGTCATACAATATGACATATATTTTAACTTCTGTTTAGATTCACTGCATCCGTTTTGAAATAAATCAAATTTCCTGTTCTGTTTAGAATTCTGAGTGAATAAGAAATGTTAAATCTAAAACATACGTACAAAATGAACATAAATGTCTATTTTCCAAATAACTTAATCTTTTTCTATAGTGTCTAGAACCTGTTAATAATTTAGAAGATTTAAGTTAAAAAGATGCATATGAATTGGAGAATAGAGATATTTTAATCTTACCCATTGATTTTTGGGGGTGATGAAGATGACGATCTTTCATCATCCGTACTACTTTCTCTGCCTTCGTAAGCATCGCTGCTTTCAGATAAACGGCAGTAGTTGCAGGTTTCGGAATCAGCATTGCATCCTAATAAAGTAAAATAAATTATTATTAGTCCAAAGGGATTTCAGTCCCGAAGGACTATTGCTTTCGTTTTGGCATTTTGCGTCGGACTCATAAACGTCGGTTCACTTTTCAAATTGTTGCCACAAAATGTTAGAGTCCTGCATTATATTTGAAGAAATTAAATAATGAAAAATCTGCATAAATGATTGTCTATTTCTCGCATTGTGATAAAACAATGGTACATAGAGCCATCGAATTTTGAATGACGAAATCCTACTGCGAATATGGGCATCTGAAATCCCAAATTTGGAATTTGTTTTATTATAGATTTTATATTTTGTAAAACTTTGACGAATTTTTGATTTACAAACTCAATGCTTTAAAAGCGAGAAATGGCAACGTTATATATACAAAAAAAAAATACTTTTATCTCCAGCTCGCGAGACTGTGTATATCGGAAATTCTAAAGATATGCTTAATTTAACATTATTTTGCGATATTGCTCTTGAACTGAATTTTATGGTTTAAGTGCAAAGAACATGATATTTAATGAATAAAGGTAACACTCAAAACGTTAAAAAAACGCCCCTTTGGACGTAATTTAAAATCTGAAACATTTCAGATTTTTTTTTTTATTATTTATTTATTTTTTTTTTCTTTTGGTAGAGTATCATATGCATTTGCAGGACGGTAATTTCTTATAATTCATCTATGTATGACGCATAGCAGCGGCTTGAAGTTTTGTTACTTTATTATATTAAAATACCGGCCAAGTCAAAATGAATATAGCGATTATAAATGGCTATAACTATTTATTGAAAATGAATTTATCTTTAAAATTAACACATAATGTAGAGGAAACTTCAAAATTTCGTATACACACGTCATAAATGTTCTATTGTGACTATGAGTGCACAAACATCCTATTTCTCTAAACATCTGATGCCATCTGCGTATGTTGTTCGCATTTGGAGGTTCTTGTTTGTAACGCTGGTGAAATCTATGCGTTTTGTACAGGACTTGCCATTTTTACCAATGAAACGTCCGGGAATGAACAGGTTTCTTGTCGTTGCGAAGTTTCAACTCGCATGCATAGGCTTCCGCTTCACCTGCACCTGCGCCTAACGCAAACAAATTTTGTAGTTCTTGCTACATTCTGTGTTACTCTTATCGATAAATTCTTTTCCACTAAATAGCTATAGCCATTTGTAACCGCTATATTCATTTTGACTTACCCTGTTTATGAACGCTTTTCTACCTAAGAGAAGAAATTCTGTAATTAACTCTATTCTTGACTTACTACAGTACGAATTACTACTATGGCTAAGAAATTGTTTGTCGAAACAAAATAATTATGCTGGAAGCCACCTTTTAATTTTTTATTTAGGGTTATTTACATTATTCACATTCTCTTAGAGTTATATGATCCCAACTTGCCAAGTGTAAATGTTTAACCGAAGAGAAAATGAAGTCTTTTTTTATAGTACTGGTAAAATAAAGTATTTTATAAAAAACTGAGAAACTGGTACTTAAAATTAAAAAAAAACTTATTGGTACATATTACATGAAGACTGAAATATGTTTTACGCAAATCTGTTCAACGTTTTCGAAATGCAATGTTTAGTATTCGTCATGATAATGCTTTATAACAAACAGAAATTTTATTATAACATTAAAACAGTTTCTGCATTCAATCTTTGTAATTATTTGCAGTGTTTAAGTAATATTTCAATTTTTAGTGTGGGGTTTACAAATAATGAAACGAATGAAAAGTATAAACTATGTTTTTATTAGAATTGTTACGTTTTGAAGGAAAGAATAAATGAACTCTGAAAGTAAACAGAATTACAAAAATCTCTTTAGCATAAAATTTACATGCATTATTTTTGTTTTTGGTTTAGGTTTCATTTTTATTTTAAACAGTTGAAGAAAGAATAATCTAATGAGCTTATGCAAAGTATTTTTAGTGAAACGTTTACCATAATTCTTGCTTGTAAGTGCATTAAACTTAAGGCAGTGCACGAAGAGACTTCAAAGTTTTAATGATATCTTTTTCAGAACGGATAAAGCTTATGAAAAATTTATAGAAAGTTGCATTTTTCTAGACGAGCTTTTAATAGGTGTGACAGTAGGGAATCTCTTGCAACCAGAAATTGTTATATTAGCTGCCAGAAGTTCTATTTGTCGTTTTCTCTGTAGAATTCATTTTTCCAGAATACCGATTTAAATTTATTTATTATAGAGTTATTAAATTAATTATGAAAGTGTATACTGTCTATATGAATTTTTAAACTTCTCGTGAATCTAAAACATTGCGCCTTATTCGTGGATAAATATTTTTTTTTGAGTAGCAATGAAAATAAGTATTTACAACGCATGGATACTATGGCATTTTAAGAAGTACGAATTACTGAAAGATTATTGCATAACTTGTAGCCACATACGTTGCTCTAATGTCACGTTTTAGCTATGACTTTTATTAAAAAAATTTATTCACTTTTTAGCTATGACTACTGATGATATTTTGAATCTGTAAAATGATTTAAATTCCCTGTAAAGTTTTCCTAAAAATAATATTTTTTATTGTCTATTTTGAACTGGCATTAATTTAAAAAAATGGACACAGATGTTCAAAGATATGCTTAAGGTTTCAAGACGTTTGCAGAAAGTTGTGCTTAGAATTTTAACAGATATAAGTTTTAAGGTTTATCCTAAGTTTATAACAGTTATTTTTTCAAGCTTCTTTCCTATCTCTCGTAATTTCAGCTCACAAATTCCTTACCAGAATGTGTTTTTAGAATCGCGTTCAATTCAAATGAGTAGGAGTTGTATTTAAGTCGAAGTTACACTGACTTCGAGAGAGAAAATCAGAGTTTCTGACTAGCGCGCTTTTGCCTTTTGGCCACGTCTCTATAAGCTGTTACTACGCTCGGCTGTATTGCGGGCTCTTGATAGCTTCGCTAGATAGTTCGATATTTAGGGATCAACTAGTTATATTTGTGTTAGCTTCGGTTACATCTCTTTAGTTAGTCATTAGTTAAGTTCTTATTTCTTACAATTTTCAGTTTAAGCCCAAGTAGAGGCTTTGCTGTACGCCCTGAGAAAGGGGCCGACTTTATTTTTAATAGCAAAGGGTAATTAATCCTGAGTTTTATGTTTCTGTTTCTGGACTTAAGCGATTATTCGCTTAGCAGTTCACATTTAATTAATAGATAAAAGGAAGGAACACTACAAAGTGAACAGTCGGGGGTCGAAATCTCAGTTTGTGGAATCATTGGCTTTGTTATAAGTGCTGTTAATTGGAAAGGCTTTCAAAAATACTCCAATGTAAAAAGTCACCCACTTAACATGATAGAGGATTAAAAGTTACACTGGCATATAAAAATTTAGGAACAACCCTTGCTTTAATTGTTACAACCTCAAAATTAAATGGAAATGGTTTTAGCTATTTGCTTAATTAAAGATCTTAAAAAAAGGGGAGGAGGCTGCAGTAATATTAAATCTTGGTAAGTGTGATTCCCAAAATAACAACATTTCCTAATAACAATTGCCAAAATTATAGCCCTGTAAACCACTTTATAAAACTCATCTTAGACAATTAAACCGCATTTTACTAAACATTAATCACAAATTCCTAGCTGGTTAAATCAGTCACAGCTGTGAAAAACAAATAAATAACTACCTAGGACCACACAAATTCTTTTTTTTTTTTTTTTTTTTTTTTTTTTTTTTTTTTGATTGCAAAATTTAAAATTATTATCAGCTTTGCAGGTGCGGCTAATGTCAATGATTAATTACAATTTATAATTTAAATACACATTTTAATTTAGAAACAAATTAATGCAGTTATGGCAGTTTTAATTCCAAAATTTTTTCCGTCTAAAATGAGTTGCCTGCTACGAACTGTAATTTTCATTTTACATGTGGGTAACCTTTAGATCGTTAACACTTCTCTTTAGCATGTTAATAGTACATTTATCTTTGTTGTGTATAGTTTACTATTGCATGTTCAACCAGATGAAATTCAATAACGTGCCTATTAAATGGAAATGAAAATGTATTAAAAACATCCGCCTCTTCACACAGAGAAAGTTAAATTTCATTTGCCTGATTCAGAAGAGGAAGAGGACGAAGTTGTACACGAAGAGGATGGATCACTGGACGTTGGGTCGTCTGCTGCATTTGAAGACGAAGATTTTCTGCGCAGGGCGTAGCTGCCTTCTGAAGAGCGACGTAGTGGGGCTTTTGGACGCTCACACTGAGTCAGCTCGGTCGCACTGCCGCCCAGCGCTGCACGTCGGTCACCTGGAAGAAATTTCTTGATGTCATTTGCCTTAGCTGAAATTTTATTGCAGATTAATTTAAAATGTTACAAAAGTCTGTACCAAAGGTGCACTTATAGGATAAAATTTATGGTTCACTTTTTTTATGGTTTACAGAATTTCTTTATGAATTTGAGAATCTAGCCATATATGTACTATTATACTTGCCTGCGAAACGTACGTAAATCAGTATAATGGAAGTGCTCAATTTCTTTCATTTACTTTATTTTTTCTTCCTTTTACGAAGTAAAGGAAGTATTGTAATCACGAAAAATTCCGAGTATCATATTTCAACGAAAATATCCATTTCGAACGCTATCGAATGCAATTTAATGATGTTTTTGCGTGACATCTATACGTAAGGACAGAATAAAGGACTCATTTTGCCCAAACGAATTGTAAAACTGATTTAAAATGGAGTCAGTAGAGATTTTTTTTTGTGGCGTCGATACGTACATATGTATGCAGGTATCTCGCATAACTCAAAAACAAGTACACTCAGAATGTTGAAATTTTGTATATAGGACTACTATAATACGAGTATGAAGTTGTGCATCTTCCTTTTTGGTTGGAATCGGCCGCACCAAAAGTATATATATATCACATAAAGTATATAGTATACCCACTCTGTTTCTCGGTATAGTGAGGTCAGTTTTTTTATTCTTATATTTTGGTAAATTGCGCATTTTTTGCTTTAAAAAATTATTGAATTATGTTTTTCTTATCTTTCGGTTAAGGTTTTTATGCCTTTAGTTAATCTGCATGCAACATGCAACAGTTGTAGAATTATCAACAATTTAAAAGTTGTTTAAGTGCGGCTAAGCCTAATTTTTGTTTACCATAGCAGCCATATTTGTTTACATTTGAAATTTAGCAGAATAATGAATTCAGTTTCTGCACATTCAGTGTCTTTTTGCCGAGTGGGACTAAAATTAAACTTTGTTTTTTGTGTACCGAAAACTCTGCCTCGTTGCTTGCTGGACGAATTGCCTGTTTTTGCGTAGAAACTCTAATTTTAATTATAAAAATTGTTTTTTTTTTATTGTTTTAACAGTTTTTGGGTATTTTATTTTGTTATATATTTTTCACTCTTTAATGAAGATATTTTGAGGGTTTTTGTATTTTTGCCTTGTCGCGAACTGAACACAGAATAAATTGAATGAGAACTGTATCTCTAATTAAATTCGAGGAAATAACTTAAATGAAATGCAGCGAAATATGCGTATAATTTAATATTCCGTACAAGGAAGTCATGTAGTGCGCACATCAGATTTTTTTATTTGTGTTATAAGGATTATGTTAATTTTATTAACAGTTAAATTTTAAGTTCCTTTCCTGTCGATTCTTAACTTCAGCTTACTACTTCTGGCTAGAACATAGTTTTAGAATCACGTTTGAATACATAATGAGGTAGAGCGGTATTTAACCGCGAAGTTCTTCGGTCTTAGTGAGAGAGTTACTAAGTATTCTGTCTGCAAGCGTCCGCCGTTTTAGGCTACCCTCTCGTAAGCTATTATCACGCTCGGCCGTACTTTAGGCCCTTGATAGCTTCGCAGTCTATTAACGTTAAGGGGCCAATTCTGTTAGAATTTTTGATAGCTTCGGCTATACTTCTTTAGTTTAGATTAGTTTAGTATTATTCTTAGTCACTTAAGTTCAAAGCCCAAGTGTCGCGTTTATTGTACACTCCAAGACGGAGTTTGTTAAACTTTAATTGGAATAATAAAGGGCTAGTTTACTCTTCTATCTTGTTGTTTCCTGTCACACAAGCTCAAACAATTAATCGCTTAGCAGTTCTTAAGATTCTTAACGTTCAACAGTAACTTAGAATTTACAAAGTGAGGAACTCTAGAGTGTATTTGCTGTATTTTATAATTAAATTTTTTCCAGTCACGAGCGCGGTTTCATGGTCATGGCTAGAGCACAGAAAGCACAAAAACTGGACAACTGATCAATGGAGTCGTGTCCTCTTTACGGATGAGAGTCGGTTCATTACCAGAAGCGATTCTCAACGCGTTTTGATTTGGAGAGAGGTCGGGACCCGGTTTTATCCCCGTAACATCAAGGAAAGACACCGTAACGGTGGACCTGGAGTTCTTGTCTGGGGAGGCATTATGCTGAACGGGCGAACTGAGCTCCACGTTTTCGACAGAGGGTCTGTAACCGGGGATCGCTATTATGAGGAGGTATTCCTTCCCCATGTGCGTCTGCTCCGAGGTGCCATTGGCCCAGACTTAATTTTTATGGATGAGCACGGCCACATCGGACTCTTGCTGTTGAGGATCTACTAAAAAGTGAAGATATCACTCGAATGGATTGGCCAGCGTACTCCCCTGATTTAAATCCTTTAGAACATGTATGGGATGCTTTGGGGAACCGTCTTGAGGCCCGATTACATCCTCCGGCGAACACCCAACAACTGAAACAGATGCTGATTGAGGAATGGGCACTCCTACCGCACGAAATGTTGCACCAGCGGTTCTGAGTATGCGGAGACGGTGCGAAGCAATCATTGCAGTGAAGGGAGGGCATATCCCATATTAAGGAACATCTGCTTGTTGTTCTTTCTCTTGGATAGACAATCATGAGTCACGATACTATGCGTTCAATAAAGCTTGTTTTTGTTTGATTCCATACCGTATGCATTGTATTCCATTTTCAGCTCCGATGCTTTCGTCATCCTTTACGTATATAATACTCTCCTTCATTTCTGCATTTCATGTCTCTCAGTTGATTTCTCGTGGAGTTATGGCAAAAATCCCTGCTATTGCTTAAGTTTTGCACACCAATGTACATTAGTATACGTGATTGCTTGAGCTCATACATTTCTTGCTTTGAAAGCATTAAAATATGCAACAAAATTTCCTTTGCCTGTGCAATATTCCACGATTATGTCATATTTTTCCGCTATCATTGTACAACCCTAAACTAAAATTTCGCTTTTCTTATAAAATCCAAAATCACATTCAGATCTCTTTCGGTAAGTTAAAGCATATCTTTCTTTAAAAATACCTGATGTAGACACCCCATTGACTTCCTTGTACGGCTTGTTAAATTATAGACGTTTTTTGCTGAATGGCATTTAAACTTATTTCCTCCAATTTCATTATTCTCATTCCATTAATTCACTCATGGTAGGTTTTATACTATCAAAAGGTAGCAGTTTCTTCCCTTTGCCATCTTCTATCCTGTCCTCCTGGACTCACAAAGGTTGCGCTCATTCTAGTCGAAGCACCCTTCTATGGGACACTAAGTTCTAACAGTCGGAATAGAGCATGAACTTTTCATTCTAATCTCGGCATACAGCGGAAGTTGGAGTTAGTTTATAATATTCAGCCCTTGATTAGATAATTAACTTGTTGCTATCGTTTGCGAGGTAGAGACCTTGCGAACCAAATATGTGCATTTGAGTGTTTGCCATCAATGTCTGAGCTCGAATTAACACTCGAAAGCCAAGTTTTCGATTTTATCTGTTTTGTGCATTCTCTGTGAGTTTTTCACTAAACTGATTGAGCAACTTTTGGTCTCCTTCATTAGTTCTCCCAATACTGTTGTAAGTTCAGGTTGGAATTCTAATATGCCTCTTTTCTGCCTCTCAGAGTGGAATGTGACCCTATGTTCTATGGTAATTATTGTTCATTTGGATGAGTACTATCACCCCTCTTAATTTGTAAAATAATTTAGAATCACCTTGTATATATATATATAGTATATATATGCTTTCGGTGCCGCCGATTGCAACCCAAAATGGAGATTCACAACTAAAAGTTATAGCAGTCCTACATACAAAATTTCAACGTTCTGAGACTACTCATTTTTGAGTTATGCGAGGTACATATGTGCATACGTATGAACTTACACACATCACGAAAAAAGTCTCTTCTTTCATGGACATCCATTTTAAACCCCTTTTTCAATCCTTTTTTTGGGAAAAGAGTCCTTTATTCTGTCCGTACGTACAGATGTCACGGAAACAATTGTTCAAATGGATTCCAGAGCGGTCAAAATGAGTATTTGTGTTGATATACCTGAAATTATAAAAAATACCTGAATTTTTTTGCGATGACAATACTTCCTTTACTTTGTACAGACATTAGGTATTTTTTAAAAGCAGAAAAGATGAAAAATGAGCAACGCTTTCGCCGGGACTCGAACCACGGGCCTCTCGAATACGCGCCGAGCGTGCTGACCACTACACTACGAAGGCATGCTAAGAAGGCGGGAGAAATACCTTATAACTTTATACAAGGGAGTAAAAAATGGGTTAAAAAGAGTTTTCTCTTAGCAGACATATCTGTACATTCTAATTTCCGAAACTTATGCTTATTGCAAGGCGCAAAGAAAAATTAGAGAAAAATCAATTCCGCTTTTAATAAACAGAAGACACCTCTACCATCTCCCGTCAAAAATCAAACTTACGACATAACTATCATTTTTGGGGATAAGTTCTTCTTTTGTTCGAAGAATTACAGCTAGAAAGAATTAATTCGAGTAATGCTGTATATCTAACAGAAGCATTTCTAGTGAGATTATACAACCATCGAATATGCAGAAAAATGCAATAAGAAAATTTCTAATTAACATAGTCACAAAAGCTGTTATTTTTATCGTCATTGAATCTCTGCTCGTATATTTTCTCTTTGATGATCCCCATTTCAGAACCTTTCTTCTGCTTTATTCTTCGCCTATCAACATATGAATAGATGTTAAAGTTATCGTTGTTTAACTTATAAAGTCTATAAAAATAAAATTAGTTGCTTCGAATATATAGTGAGGTTTAGCTTATTGAGGTAACATGCACTCAAAGTTAATATTGACTGAAAAGGTTTTTGTCTCTCTGTTTGTTCATGTGCTGTACATAATGAAGCATATATACCTAATTACTTATCGAAATAATATGTCTGTTATGTTTGTTAAGTCCTCGAACGAAACAAAAACGTACTTTATATTAATTTGTTCCCAGTATACTAAGCTCGTTCGAAC